AACTTAACTTAATGAACAGAGTTTATGTAACTTACTCGAAAAGGACGAAAAAACAATACTAACAAAATGTTCAAAGAATGTCAGTTGATCTAAAAATATAAACGCGAAAGTACAATAGTTAAAGAACAAGAATGGGACGCGTGCTATACAGGTTTTTAACAAAGAATAAAAAACCTATCGTTGTGAAAAATAGACTTGCGCGCGAAAAAAATATTAATTAAATGTATTTTATAAAGAATCTAAAATTGTTGATATCCGTTATGTTGTTAATAAGTTTGTTTTCTAAATTACCAGTGTAGATATGAAGTTCCTCGTATAAATCTAAAAGTTTTGATTTTTTAATATTCTTTATTATCTTTGTACAATTGAGACTGGTTTTATGATTATTTTCTTTTAGGTGTTGGTATATTGCGGAGTTATTACATTTAAGATGTTCCTTAAACATGATTTGGATGTTCCTGCCGTCTGTCCTATATAAAACTGATCACAATCTTCGCATTCGATCTTGTATACTTCACTTAACTCGGACTTGTCAAAACGGTGTTTGTTATTAGTTAGCATATGACCTAATTTCTTATTGGAAGAGAACGCCGTAGATATGTTAAACTTTTTGAGGTGTTTAGTGATTTTATGCTGAACTCTGTTGTATATGTTTTGCACGTCCCAGAAATTATAACCATTATTTGTTCCGATACTAAGAATTGTTTTAAGTTCCGAAATGTAGTCTGAATCATTGAGTGGTATAGTGTTAAGCCGATTAAAGTATAATCTCAAGGCAGATTCTTTGTGTGACTTTGGATTGAAAGAATTCTTCGGAATTATCGAATCTGTAGATGTTGGTTTTCTATTTATATTAAAAGACAGATGATTACACTCAAACGAATTAAAAGCTCACCGGAATTAACAATTAACGGAGAAACTATTAGATGGAACGACTCGGACGAACCGGTTAAATATCTTGGCATATTCCTTGACACAAGATTAACTTGGAAATACCATATACTCCAAAAAGTTAATCAAGGTTACGGAAAGTTGAAACAACTGTATCCCTTGATAAACAGGAGAACAAGACTTAAATGCGAAAACACTATTCTAATTTATAAAACACTCATTCTACCACTCATTACCTATGCCTGTGTTGTCTGGGGAAACTCGGCTAAAACAAATCTTAATAAGGTTCAGGTTTTACAAAACAAAATACTACGCATAGCAGTAGACTCTGAGTGGTATATCTCTAATGATCAACTACACAACGAATTAAAAATTGATAGTTTCACAGCCTTTATATCTAAAATGACTTCCCGGTTTCACGAACGCATACAATACACAGAAGTACTACAGCCATACAACCTCAGCAAAAAGAACATCCACTGTCATCTTAAAAGGAAACTACCACAAGACATCTACTTGATTTAAAATACGTTAAATGTTACCATCCAATTTGACTTATGTTTATTATTTTGTAAGTGACGAGGTCCTTTTAGTTATGTAATGTGACATTTATTTAGTATAAGAAAAAGCCTTGTATAGTAATGTTAATTTACTGGTCTGGCAATAAAAGTACTTAAAAAAAAAAAAAAGGACAGATGGTCATTATGATCTCTGGAGATACTTAAGTCGAGGAAGTTAATGCTCTTATTTAGTTCCTTATCTATAGTGAATTCTAAGTTGTTGATGTTGTTGAAGATGTTGTACAATGTGCCCTAAGTTTAGCAGCGTTACCCTCATAAACGATACGGATGTGAAATGTTTATATTTCCCTGAGAATAATTGCTTCTCGAAGTCATTGACGAACATTTCCGCGATGATGCCCGAAATTGGAGATCCCATGGGAAGACCATCAGGCATTTGATAATATCGATTTTTAAATATAAGGAAGTTTTGATTACAAACTATTTTCAGAAGGTTGCAGAAAGTTGTTATTTCATTATGATTAATATTAAGATATTGATGGTGGTTATCTAGGTGATTTTTTATTATAGATATGGACTCATGAATTGGGATATTCGAATATAGGTTCTTAATATCAAACGATATAAGAAGGCTATTCTTTGTGAGAGTGATGTTCTTAATTTTATTAATTAGATCCATGAAGTTCTTCACTGAATAGGAGTTGTGGTTGTGGAATGAATTAAACAGAAAAGATTGGATAGTCTTTGCTATTTTGTTTGTGGGAGTATTTTTGTTAGTAATTATTGGTCTAATACTTTTATCTTCATTGTGAAGCTTTATGAGGCATTTCAATGTAGGTGGTAACGGATTCATTTCTGTTGATCTGTTAGGACCAATGTTGAATTTTAAAAGAGCGGTAGAATTCTCTTTTATAAATTTCTTTAGTTTGTTGCTAAAGCCTGTGGTTGGGTTATTTTTTTATGGGATATATGTTATTATTNATATTGGCATTTTTTTCTTATTTTGTCTAGTAACAATTTGACTTTGAACTGCTTTTTTTTAATTAGAACATACTATAAGCACCTGATACCAACTAACTCTAATTATGTATTTTTCTGAAAGATAATTATGAAATAGGCTCTACATAAGCATTTTTGATCAGAATATCAAATAAAATCATAGTTTACATTTTTGTCGTCGTAAATTGATAATACGGCCTTATGTGCGTCGCCCCTTTTTCCCTTTCCTCCCTTATTCTTGCATAAAAGTCCCCTCCAATAATCAGGTCTTCCATTGCCTCATTGACTTTTTCATTGCCTTGCTATATACTGTGACTATCTACACCTTCTCTCCCTCTAGCTTGATTTGCCTCTTTACCAATCCCTTCTGCCTCCATCTCCCCTCCGTCTTACTCTCCTCCGTAATTCCCCTCGTTATTCCTGTCTTACTTCTCCTCTCTGCAAACATACAATCCCATCTATACCCTTCTGGTAACTTTTTCTCAATCTTTTTCATCCTCATTCATCAACCCAGGTCTCCACCATACAAATCTTTTCAAATATTCCCAGAACTGCCCTCCCTTATTCGTAATCCCCGCTACATTCCAGAAGCCTTCTCTGGCTTCTTCCCTCCCCCGTCTAGTTTTTTGATAAAGTCTCTTTCTGCCCTGTCCTCATGTCCTCATAATTAATACTTCTGCCGCTATCTTTTATTCCCCACAGTTTCTATTCCTCGTTTCGGGTCTGTCATCCTTCCCCCTGGCTTTGTAGTTTACACATACCACCTCTCTCTCCCTATTCCCACAGTTCAGTCCAATTTCATCAGTAATTTCTTGTTTTAATCTTTCAGAATTCTTTAAAAGTTTCTGTTCCAATTTGCTACAATCTTCTTGCAGTTTCTTTTGAAGCGTATGTTCCAAGATGCTGACATTTTCTTGAATTTGTTGCAAAACTAATATCTCTAATAATACTAATAAGCTCTTTCCAGAGCTTCTCGGAGTCGAATTTGCAATATTGTTTTCTCTTTTTTCTAATTCATGTTTCAATTCTTGTACTTTCAGGTTTTTCAATAACTTCTTTGAAGCCATACCAATTTATTTATTTATTTTTTGTTCCTGTCTAAAATAAAGAAGGTTAACTCACCTCAGCTGGGGGATCCGCGTGAACTAAGCAATCTAATTTCGCCTCTAAACCTTCCCCAGAATTAACCCACGATCTCAAAACTGTCACTTCAGGTGGGTCTAAACACAAATAAGGTTATATTGTAATTATTACAAAGATTAAAATTAAAACACTTACATAAAACGTGTAACTTAACATCCCCCGTTGCGGGTTGTCCGATTCCATTCGAAGCAATGCACTGGTAAGTTCCGGCGTGTTGGCGTTGGACATCGACGAGAGACAGCAAATACCCGGTTTGAACTTGCATCCCCGATGGTAACAACCCCTCCTTTTTGGACCATTGCACCACGGGGGTTGGATTGCCCGAAGCGCGGCACTCAAAACTAACCGGGCCGCCTTTTCTCGTGGTAACTTGACCTGTTTGGGGGATGATTTGGACGCTGGGTGGCACTAAAAAATAAAATTTGGAGTAAATGTACAAACAAAAAAAGCACTGCGGTGGGTGGTGAAAACCATGAATATTTAGAGGGGCCGTTAACGGTTGATTGCCACTTTAAAATGCAAAATACGCAATTTGCATAAATTGAAATCGTCCGAGTATGGTACGATGCGATGACGACGGTTACGACGGTTCCAACGACGAAGACCGCAAAGACAAAGACGGATAGATATAGCCAATCTGCATGTATTACGTTTTACTAAATAGAGGTAAAACTGACATCGATATCACGTAATATATTATTACGGCAATGAAATGTGTGTGAAATAGGCACAAAAGAAGACTGGGATATCGCACTTACTGAGTATTTCAATGGTGTGGATTAAATCCCCGGAAGAGCCGTCGCCTATTTGACACGTATAGTCGCCCTGGTCCAGGTGTTTTATCTCCCTAATTTGCAAGTTGTAGCCGGTTAAAGAGAAGCGGGTGTCGCGCGAAATCATCTGCTGGCCGGCGCTTAAAAGGGACGCCCCTTTCCGCCACACTATCACAAAATTCCCTGCAACATAAAAATTTAAAAAGAATAAATTTGGGGTTGTAACAAAACGGATGACGGAATCGAGTAACAAAATCGATTCTAAATCGAAATTGAAGAATAAATTTTTTCGATTTTTCGCTTCGTTCTCGAGATAAGAATCAATTTTTGCGAAAAAATCGAAATTTATTGATTTAAACGGGAATATCTCAAAAAATACGATAAATACGAAAAAAAGTTATTCTTTATTATCGATTCTAAATTCAATTTTTAATCCAATTGATATCAAAAAATTTTTTTTAAAAAATCACATTTTTATATATAATATTATTTTTTTTATATATATAATAAATCGGGTGATTTCATTAAGTTGAAAAACAGTTTTTAAATCGATTAATAAGAATACAATTTTTTGATATCTTCTTTCGTTTTTGAGTTATTCGCAATAAAAGTGTTAATTTTATAATTTCTACTAAAGAAGTTAAATTGATGAGTTTAAAAGGAGATATCTCAAAAACTACGATAAATACGATAAAAACCCATTCTTTATTTTCGATTTTAAATTTAATTTTCTACCAGAAAATTATTTTAAAGATTGTGTGAAAATAACCACAACGAATTTAGAGGCAAAGGAAAAAATATCGAATTTTTATGTTTTTACGTATCTTGCTTAATAATATTCGCCGATATAATAAATCCGATGATTTCATTAAGTCGAAAAACAGTTTTTAAATCGATTAATAAGAATAAAATTTTTTGATATCTCGCTTCGTTTTTGAGATATTCGCAATAAAAGTGTTAATTTTATAATTTCTACTAAAAAAGTTAAATTCGTGAGTTTAAAAGGAGATATCTCAAAAACTACGATAAATACGATAAAAACTCATTCTTTATTTTCGATTTTAAATTTTATTTTCTACCAGAAAATGATTTTAAAGATTGTGTGAAAATAACCACAACGAATTTAGAGACGAAGGAAAAAATATCGAATTTTTATGTTTTTACGTATCTTGCTTAATAATATTCGCCGATATAATAAATCCGATGATTTTATTAGGTCGAAAAACAGTGTTTAAATCGATTAATAAGAATAAATTTTTTTGATATCTCCTTTCGTTTTTGAGTTATTCGCAAAAAAAGTGTTAATTTTATAATTTCTACTAAAGCAGTTAAATTGATGAGTTTAAAAGGAGATATCTCAAAAACTACGATAAATACGATAAAAACCCATTCTTTATTTTCGATTTTAAATTTAATTTTCTATCAGAAAATTATTTTAAAGATTGTGTGAAAATAACCACAACGAATTTAGAGACAAAGGAAAAAATATCGAATTTTTATGTTTTTACGTATCTTGCTTAATAATAATCGTCGAAATAATAAATTCGATGATTTTATTAGGTCGAAAAACAGTTTTTAAATCGATTAATAAGAATAAAATTTTTTGATATCTCCTTTTGTTTTTGAGTTATTCGCAATAAAAGTGTTAATTTTATAATCTCTACTAAAAAAGTTAAATTGATGAGTTTGAAAGGAGATATCTCAAAAACTACGATAAATACGAAAAAAACTCATTCTTTATTTTCGATTTTAAATTTAATTTTCAACCAGAAAATGATTTTAAAGATAATGTAAAAATAACCCCAACGAATTTAGAGGTGAAGGAAAAAAGTGAATTTCAAAAAAATCGCATTATTTATGTTTTAAGCATCTTGCTACTTAATAATCGCCTTTATAATAATTTAGGTGATTTCATTGAGTGGAAAAATTATTTCTAAATCGATTAATAAGAATAAATTTTTTTGATATCTCCCTTCGTTTTTGAGTTATATCCCAAAAAGTGTTAATTTTTACGAAAAAAGCCAAATTGGTAGATTTAAAAGGGGATATCTCAAAAACTACGATAAATTCGATAAAAACCCATTCTTTATTTTCGATTTTAAATTTATTTTACTATCAGGAAATGATTTTAAAGATTATGTAAAAATAACCCCAACAAATTTAGAGGTGAAGGAAAAAAGTGAATTTCAAAAAAATCGCATTTTTTATGTTTTAAGCATCTTGCTAATTAATGATCGCCTTTATAATAATTTAAAAGATATCATTAAGGGAAAAAATTATTTCTAAATCGATTAATAAGAATAAAATTTTTTGATATCTTCCTTCGTTTTTGAGTTATTTCATAAAAAAAAGTGTTAATTTTTACTGAAAAAGCTAAATTGGTAGATTTAAAAGGGGATAACTAAAAAACGACGATAAATACGATAAAAACTTATTCTTTATTTTCGATTTTAAATTTATTTTTCTACCGGAAAACCATTTTAAAGTTTGTGTAAAAATAATCCCAACGAACTTAGAGGTAAAAGAAAAAAGTTGATTTTAAAAAAATCGCATTTTTTATGTTTTGAGCATCTTGCTAATTAATGATCGCCTTTATAATAATTTAAGTGATTTCATTAAGTGGAAAAATCATTTCTAAATCGATTAATAAGAATAACATTTTTTGATATCTCCCTTCGTTTTTGAATTATTTCCCAAAAAAATGTTAATTTTTACTAAAAAAGCCAAATTGGTAGATTTAAAAGTGGTTATCTCAAAAATTACGATAAATACGATAAAAACTCATTCTTTATTTTCGATTTTAAATTAAATTTTCTATCAGAAAACGATTTTAAAGTTTGTGTAAAAATAGTCCCAACAAAGTTAGAAGTAAAGGAAAACCGTAAATTTTAAAAAGATCGAATTTTTTATGTTTTAAGCATCTTGCTAATTAAAGATTGCTTTTATAATAATTTAAATTATTTCATTAAGTGGAAAAGTCATTTCTAAATCGATTAATAAGAATAAAATTTTTTGATATCTCCCTTCGTTTTTTAGTTATTTCCCAAAAAAATGTTAATTTTTACTGAAAAAGCCAAATTGGTAATTTAAAAGGGGATATCTCAAAAACTATGATAAATTCGACAAAAACCCATTCTTTATTTTCGATTTTAAATTTATTTTTCTATCAGAAAACGATTTTAAAGTTTGTGTAAAAATAGTCCCAACAAACTTAGAGGTGAAGGAAAAACGTAAATTTTAAAAAAATCGCATTTTTTATGTTTTAAGCTCTTGCTAATTAAAGATTGCCTTTATAATAATTTAAGTGGTTTCATTGAGTGGAAAAATCAATTCTAAATCGATTAATAAGAATAAAATATTTTGATATCTCTCTTCGTTTTTGAGTTATTCCCCATAAAAGTATTAATTTTTACTAAAATAGTCAAATTGGTAGATTTAAAAGGGGATATCTCAAAAACTACGACAAATACGATAAAAACTCATTCTTTATTTTCGATTTTAAATTTATTTTTCTATCAGAAAACGATTTTAAAGTTTGTGTAAAAATAATCCCAACGAACTTAGAGGTGAAGGAAAAAAGTTAATTTAAAAAAAATCGCATTTTTTATGTTTTAAGCATGTTCCTAATTAATGATCGCCTTTATAATAATTTAAGTGATTTCATTACGTAGGAAAATCATTTCTAAATCGATTAATAAGAATAAAATTTTTTGATATCCCCCTTCGTTTTTGAGTTATTTCCCAAAAAAATGTTAATTTTTACTAAAAAAGCCAAATTGGTAGATTTAAAAGTGGATATCTCAAAAACTACGATAAATACGATAAAAACTCATTCTTTATTTTCGATTTTAAATTTATTTTTCTACCGGAAAACGATTTTAAAATTTGTGTAAAAATAATCCCAACGAACTTAGAGGTAAAAGAAAAAAGTTGATTTAAAAAAAAACGCATTTTTTATGTTTTAAGCATCTTGCTAATTAATGATCGTCTTTATAATAATTTAAGTGATTTCATTAAGTGGAAAAATCAATTCTAAATCGATTAATAAGAATAAAATTTTTTGATATCTCAATTCGTTTTTGAGTTATTTCCCAAAAAAGTGTTAATTTTTACTAAAAAAACCAAATTCTCAAAAACTACGATAAAAACTCATTATTTATTTTCTGATACCTCCCTTCGTTTTTGAGATATTCTCCAGAAAAGTGTTAATTTTTACTAAAAAAGCCAAATTGGTAGATTTAAAAGTGGATATCTCAAAAACTACGATAAATACGATAAAATCTCGTTCTTTATTTTCGATTTTAAATTTATTTTTCTACCGGAAAACGATTTTAAAATTTGTGTAAAAATAATCCCAACGAACTTAGAGGTAAAAGAAAAAAGTTGATTTAAAAAAAAACGCATTTTTTATGTTTTAAGCATCTTGCTAATTAATGATCGTCTTTATAATAATTTAAGTGATTTCATTAAGTGGAAAAATCAATTCTAAATCGATTAATAAGAATAAAATTTTTTGATATCTCAATTCGTTTTTGAGTTATTTCCCAAAAAAGTGTTAATTTTTACTAAAAAAACCAAATTGGTAGATTTCAAAGTGGATATCTCAAAAACTACGATAAAAACTCATTATTTATTTTCGATTTTAAATTTATTTTCCTATCAGAAACCGATTTTAAAGTTTTCGTAAAAATAGTCCCAACGAACTTAGAGGTGAAGGAAAAAAGTTAATTTAAAAAAAATTGCATTTTTTATGTTTTAAGCACCTTGCTTAATAATAATCGCCGATATAATAAATCCGATGATAACATTAAGTCGAAAAACAGTTTTTAAATCGATTAATAAGAACAAAATTTTTTGATATCTATTTTCGTTTTTGAGTTATTCGCAATAAAAGTGATAATTTTATAATTTTTACTAAAAATGTTAAATTGATGAGTTTAAAAGGAGATATCTCAAAAACTACGATAAATACGATTAAAACTCATTCTTTATTTTCGATTATAAATTTATTTATCTATCAGAAAACGATTTTAAAGTTTGTGTAAAAATAATCCCAACGAACTTAAAGGCGAAAAAAATCACATTTTTTATGTTTTAAGCATCTTGCTAATTAAAGATTGCCTTTATAATAATTTAAGTGGTTTCATTGAGTGGAAAAATCAATTCTAAATCGATTAATAAGA